AAAATCTATGCTGTATAAGCTTTATCTCCTATACCACTGATTGTTCAGATACCAGTTTTTGCGATATATCTCCTTTATGTAGGAAACTAAACCCAATAAATTGTGTTACCGGTTTACATACCGATCACATAGCAGTGAAAATCACTTAGATTGGTGCTAATATAAGGCATATCTTCCATACCTCTGATTGTTCAGATGCGATTTTTTATATAGGTATGTAACTCCTCTATCGATGTATGCAGATGTATTCAAAAGCAGTAATCTGTCAAAGTTAAATTTGCAGATGTTCATGAAAAGTATGAAGCCTTCGGCTTAGCCGAAGACAGCGCTGCTCTTACTTGTTTTAGTTCGATTTCAATCATTTTCAACGTTTTGCTTCTATATGGCAAGCACAATAACCACACCGAGTTTGGTACAAATTGGTAAAACGGTTACCGAGATACATATATGTGATCATAAGTGGGCGGTGCCACGCCCATTTTCCAAAATTTTATCATAAACGTATTTCTTGGTAAAAAATTGTTGCAAGCACAAATTTTGAATAAATTAGCTTTAATATTTACTGATTTATCGAAGATTTTGTCTTTCTCTAAATTACCGTTATATGGGATGTGGGCGTGGTTATTGTCAGATTTAAAAAATGTTCGGTCATTTCGTATGTTATACCAAGGCCAACAACTAGGCCAAGTTTGGAAGAAATTGTTGCAGCGGTTACCAAGATATATACACATGTAACCATAAGTGGGCGTGGCTACCCTCATTTTCCAAACATTTATAATATTCTTATTTTTCGTCTAAAACATATTGCAAATATCAATTTTGAGTGAATAATCTTCAGTAGTTACTAAAATATCGCAGTTTTCGTATTTCTGAAAATTACTGTTATATGGGAGGTAGACTTGGTTATTGTCCGATTTTGTCGATTTTCAATACCATCCGTCCTACGCCAGAAGGAAGTGCACGTACCAAGTTTCGTTAAGATATCTCAATTTTTACTCGAGTTATCGTGTGCACAGACGGATGGACAGACAGTCACCACTTAATCGATTTCTCTTTTCATTCTGATCATTTATGTATACATTTTTCTATATCTATCTCGATTCGTTTGCCTGTTACAAACAACCGTTATGTGAACAAAGTTATAATACCCTTGTGCACAAGTGCGCTCGGAGATAAAAGAATCATATATTCTCATTTCTCCAATTATCTGGAGCGATCATCAACATTAGTTTAAGTCTTTATATCTTATATTTTATATTTTGTACTAATATTGTAATAGTTTATGTGCTATTAATATCAATTAATGCAAATTTTGTTGTGCTAAAAAAGAAGAAAATTCTTATTGTACTAATGGTTATTGTTTAATAATAATAATATCATATAAGTGGGCGGTGCCACCCCAAAATTTCTAAAATTTCTTTTAAAACCACTTATTTGCTAAAAGGCGATTGTATATATCAATTTTGAATAAATATTGATGAGTTCCTTAGTCACACTGCTCAAAAAATCTGAAAGTCCGGTATCCGGTACATAAACAATATAAACTCAAAGCCGTGTTTACGAATCGCCTAATTTTGACAATTTTTATGCGATTGCTATAAATAAGCTATCAGTTTATATAAAAATAGATTTAATTCTAGATAGTACTACATATTTTGAAATTGTGGAATTTATCGATCGTCAAAATTTAAAAAAATTGGAGAAATATGCTTTTTTTTAATTTACCCGATAAAAAATCCCAACAAGCCAAGTCCGACAATAGATTACACAGGTCAACAACGTTTTGTTCTAGGAAAGTGTAGGGCCATTTTCGAAGTAATTTTTTGCGTAGAATCCGAATCCGGGGTTTAAATTGCTCTATCACGTAAGGACTTTGAGATATCCTAACCTAAAAGTGCAAAAAACGCTGTTTTTGCCCATTTTTGAGGTTTTGTAGCTACGCAGATTTTGCTCTTCATAAAAAAGTAGACGTGGTATTTTAAAGTATAAGTCTTCCTCTTTTAAATGCCGTTGAGTTTGCTTAAATATCTTTATTTTTCACTGAGATATCGCATTTTGAAGTTTCCATGTTTGTGAATTTTTCGATATTCGAAAATCCATTGAGATAACATGAGACGTGATACGGTCGATTGCATACTTACTTCAAAATGCGATATCTAAGTGAAAAATTAAGATATTTGAGCAAACTCAACGGCATTTAAAAGAG